TTAAGTCTTAGCTAATCAAGAAACCACACAACTAACCTAGGCCGTGAGTCCTTTGGGAAGAACGATACTTGGTCTTACCAAGTTTATTACTTGAACGATTCGGTCATACTTGCCGATTGAAAAACAAGTTTGTGACATCATATTTTGGTGTTCATAAATTTGTCCATCAGTATTCTTCCGCTAGAGGCGTCGGTGGTGGATGACCTCGCTAGTGACTGTGAGGACGCGACATGGAGGAGAATGATGTCTTGACGCCTTTGTGGACAGGACATTGGGGAAACTTGGTACTTGTCGCCTGGACTGTTGACATTTTATGGATTAACTCAGCCTTTAGATCCATCGTGGCACGTTTTGGGTTTTGGCTACACCAATGTTGATCCTCAGTTGATAGAGATGGATGATGTGTTGAGGAAGATTCAGATTCAGAATTACTTGCCTCTGTTGGTGGGGTAGGAAATTATATTAGTGGTTTTTTATGGGACTGGTAGGTTGGGGGAGATGCTTACTAGATGGCCAGATTCATCTCTTAATTTGTTGTCATAAATGTTTGTACAATTTTGGAAGGTCAAACATGTCTGGTGGCTTTATCTTTGGTGTCTTCATTGAATCTGGGTTTGAAAGAAATGATGTCTTCATCTTTTTTAAATATAAATGGAATGAAAGAAATGACTTGAACTGAAAAACAAAGTAGCTTAGCATTTCTATTACTTTCTATCATTACCATTAATTTTATTGAATGAAAAAACCATCAAACATAATATTTTTGCCTCTATTCTTCTTAATGAATCATTTTCCATGATTGATCAAATTATATATTCAGTCTACACCTTTTTTTCCTGTGTTTCTTTTACACTGTTGAATTGAATATTCAACATCATGTCAAGATGTCATATCTGGTCTTTTATCCAAAATTTACAACATCATGGCTTTTAAAAATAAATTACAGAAGAAGGAAATTGGTGTATCTGGGAAACAACTACATCATGTTATGAGGATCAAGAAAAAACGAAGTATAAACATTTGAAGGGGCTTAACTCTATGGAAAAGAAGCAGGGCGATTTTGTAAACCGTGACTTGTCACATACTCTGTATATTGAATCCTCTCCTTAAACTTTGTGAATGTGTTGTTCTGCAGAACGACTCCCTTGCTCAACTACAGTATCCAATCTACTTGCAACATCCTCCATGCACATAAAAACAATTTAGTACCTTCAATAACTTCATTAGTGACAAAAAGACAATGCCTTTTAATCCTTCCATAACAATAGGGTCAGTGCACGTATTATATTAACTGGGGATATTATGATGATTCTATTTCTTGCACTTTCAACCTAAACTTTGAACGCAGAAAGCGCCACTTTTCTCTGTTATGGTCCCAATGTCAAGTTGCAGTAGTACCTCTGATCAAAACTGGTTGATGAATTAAGGGCCTAAGTCAACTGATCTATTTAATTATCATTCATGTCCAATTGTTTTCTCTTGTTGTGCATATCCTGATATTAAATCAGACCAAGTTAACTCTGCTAACAAAAAGTTGTTTGGGGCCTACAGCTACAACTACAATGTGCAACTCAACACAAAGCAACAATGATAGCAAATTGGGCCAATAGGAGGGAGAATCTACTCTTCCCCCATTCTCATCCAACTCCAAACCATTTCCTAGGGCATGACACAATGTTTCCCTACACAACCTTTCTTTGTCTTTCAGCTCTCTAGATTTCAATCTGAGTTTCTATTTCAACTGCAGCTCTTACCCTTCATCTGTTGAGCACATAAGGTGCATGCAGCAACATGATCATAAGAATCAGTCTTATGTGTTTCTGGCTGGGGATGAAGTTGAAAATGGACACGGTTAGGTGAGGCACTGCGTGTGAGGATTCTAATGGCTATTGTAGATACAACCATACCACCAAGCAATCAAGTTGCTTATGCAGAGATGCCCATCTCTCAAGCATTGTATCAAACAGGTTTCGTGCATCTCTGGTAGCGTCACCGGACCAAACACGGTGGCACACCTCCTCCCGGCCCAAGGCGTCGTCGGCGACACCGCACGTCATGAAGGTCATCGTCGGCAACCGCGAAAGCTCTCCTCTCCTAGCTTCTCTTCGCGCGTGAGAGGGAGACACCCTTCCCCTCCGTGACACGTCCTCACTGTCACTAGCGAGGTCAGCCACCACCGACGCCTCCAGCGTAAGAAACCCTGCCCTTCACGGCGACTCAACCTCTCTCAACCACAAACCCTAACAGCTTGACGCATCCTCACCTGTTGTTGGAAGATGTTGTCAGCAACTCCCCCAAAGACACATGGCGTCATCCTCGCCGATTGTGGATGAGAGAATGGTAGTGGAGACTCGGAAGAAACAACGGACGACCTCCTGGAGGGTGTCGCCAGACGTGGCTGACTTTGCATTGAAACATACCAACGTGGCAAACGTGAACAATGAAACATTTAATCACACGTGTCCAGACTTTAGCCACCTCAGCTTCTTTTTAACACCGTTGGTTTTAGAGGACAAAAAATTATAGTGTACTATTGAAAGAAGGACTAAAAACAAAATCACTTTATAATTTAGGAACTATAGACATATTTAACTCTTTTTCTATACTTGTCAAATTAGTGTATGCTTAGAGTCGAATAATCAATATATAAAATATACAAAGTTGTTAGTTAATAGAGAAATTCATTTATTAATTATTGTTAAACTTGTCTAATTAATGTATGTCCAATATTATATTAATGTTATATTTTAAAACAATTGATTTGTTACTAAAGTCTTAAACCTTACATTTTAAGATTGAAAATAGTAAAAGATGAATTCACAAAATATAAAACACTTATAATATTAAAAAAATATGATTTTATTATTACAAATATCTAATTTAAATCTTTTTGACATGTACGATATTTTAATTTATTTAATTATAAATATAATTATTTAAAATCTTAGGCTAATAATGAAATATTATATTTATCGGTAATAATTTTAATTATCTTAATTATTTATTCTTTAAGAAATTAAAATCTGTTCTACTTGATAAAATAAATTATTTATTATAGACGTTTTCAAATTAAAGCCGTTCCCCATTGACTGAGATCTAGTTTTAATAATTTCACTTACTTTTACATATATCACAAGATTGGACCCTCTAAAGTTTTCTTGATATCTCTTTCATCCACCTACAATAATCACATGAATCAGTGCATTTTTCACTCTCTTGATTTCGTATGAACCAAATCTGCTTCCATAATTATTTGGAAAAAACTTTTTCTAAAAATTTCTAAGAAAAAAAAAGTGTCTAATAAGTCTCCCTTAAAAAGAAATATTTAGGTTTAATCCTTCTCGACATCCTATTTGTCTACGAATGTCCGAGATAGGTCTTCGTTTTCTAAAGTGTATCAAAATGGTCCTTAATTTTGAAAATTTATATCAATTGAGTCCTTTCCGTTAAGTTGGCTGGACGACTTTAAAAAAATTGATGAGTGGGATGTTGAGATGACGAACGAACGCTCGTCCACCAGCGATTTTTTTAACGCCGTCCAGCCAACTTAAAGGGAAGGACTCAATTGATATCAATTTTCAAAATTAAGAACCATTTTGATATACTTTAGAAAACGAGGACCTATCTCAGACATTCGTACACAAATAGGATGTCGAAAAGGATTAAACCAAATATTTATATATAATCACTATATTATTCATATATATATATATGTATATCACTTGGCACCAACGCAAAATTCACATAGTTATTCATGGGAAAAACACAGCTCAATGTGAGATCAGTATATTTCTTTGTTTTCATGTTCTTGGTAAGCTTCAAATCACTAGTTACCAAAGCACAACCACCCTTATATTTGGGAGATGACTGTGATTTCACCCCTCAAAAGCCTCTCAGCAATGCATACAAATCGAACATTAACAACATCCTCTCATGGCTATCTTCAGATGCAGCCACAAGCAGAGGCTATAACTACAAAAGCATAGGCAACACCACCCCTTTGTATGGCCTCTATGACTGCCGTGGTGATGTGGTTGGCTACTTCTGCCAATTCTGTGTCTCCGCTGCTTCCAGAAGAGTCCTTCAGCACTGCCCTAACAGGGTTTCTGCTGTAATGTACTATAACTTCTGCCTTCTCAGGTACTCCGATCAGAACTTCATTGGGAATGTCACAATAAACCATCCAAGGCATCATGTTGGGAACAAAACTGTGTCTGATATAGAAGAGATTCAAAAGGGTGAGGATTTCATGAGAAGTTTGATCAGAAAAGCAACTGTGGAGACCAACAAGTTGTACTACATGGATGGCTTCAATTTGAGCTCCACTCAGAGAAGGTATGGTTTGGTGCAGTGCACCAGAGACCTCACCAGTGAGAGTTGCAGACAGTGCTTGGAGGCAATGCTAGCACAGGTTCCAAAATGTTGTGAACACAAGTTGGGGTGGCTTGTAGGAACTGCAAGTTGTCACATAAAGTATGATGATTATATGTTCTACCTTTTCAACAACCAATCATATATTGTGCCTGGTTTAACAGGTACGACACTTCAGTTACTTTTTCTTGATTTGCAATCATACAAAATTTCATGACTGTTTACTCAATTTGATCAATTTGTCAAAAATTTCTTTTNTGGGAAAAACACAGCTCAATGTGAGATCAGTATATTTCTTTGTTTTCATGTTCTTGGTAAGCTTCAAATCACTAGTTACCAAAGCACAACCACCCTTATATTTGGGAGATGACTGTGATTTCACCCCTCAAAAGCCTCTCAGCAATGCATACAAATCGAACATTAACAACATCCTCTCATGGCTATCTTCAGATGCAGCCACAAGCAGAGGCTATAACTACAAAAGCATAGGCAACACCACCCCTTTGTATGGCCTCTATGACTGCCGTGGTGATGTGGTTGGCTACTTCTGCCAATTCTGTGTCTCCGCTGCTTCCAGAAGAGTCCTTCAGCACTGCCCTAACAGGGTTTCTGCTGTAATGTACTATAACTTCTGCCTTCTCAGGTACTCCAATCAGAACTTCATTGGGAATGTCACAATAAACCATCCAAGGCATCATGTTGGGAACAAAACTGTGTCTGATATAGAAGAGATTCAAAAGGGTGAGGATTTCATGAGAAGTTTGATCAGAAAAGCAACTGTGGAGACCAACAAGTTGTACTACATGGATGGCTTCAATTTGAGCTCCACTCAGAGAAGGTATGGTTTGGTGCAGTGCACCAGAGACCTCACCAGTGAGAGTTGCAGACAGTGCTTGGAGGCAATGCTAGCACAGGTTCCAAAATGTTGTGAACACAAGTTGGGGTGGCTTGTAGGAACTGCAAGTTGTCACATAAAGTATGATGATTATATGTTCTACCTTTTCAACAACCAATCATATATTGTGCCTGGTTTAACAGGTACGACACTTCAGTTACTTTTTCTTGATTTGCAATCATACAAAATTTCATGACTGTTTACTCAATTTGATCAATTTGTCAAAAATTTCTTTTATATTGTTACAGCTAAACATGGGGATGATACTAAGTCAAGAAACTTGATCATTGGATTGAGTGTGGTAGGGTTGGTAGCTCTGTGTTTGAGAATATATTGCTTATGTTACTGGAATAGAGTAAGAAAAGGTAATAATTTCTAGCAATAACACAATGCTAGAATTCATATATTATTTCTACTTAAACATGGCCATTTAGTTCATATATACATAACTCAAAACTTGTCTTTGTAGATGGGTTGATAACTGATACTATTCCTCTGTCTGCATATACAAATTTGCCTATAATCCCATTAATCACTATTCTTGAGAGTACTGATAACTTCTCAGAAGCATCCAAATTAGGTGAAGGTGGATTTGGCCCAGTTTACAAGGTATTTGATTTTGAAATTTGGATGTAATTTCTTATAATTTTTTTTTCATTATTTGACTAACACACGTTTAGATTTGTAAATTGTATTTTCTTTTTATTTTGAATAATAATCTCATTATTTTCTCTTGAGAGTTACATTTTCATGTAAGAAGATTGCTGTGGTAGTGAGTAACTGTGAACAAACCTCTTGAAACTATTTTCTTTTCTCTTGAACATGAAACTCTCCGATAACTATTTCTTTAATATCATATGAATTTTCAATATATATATAAAAAAAAACCTTATTATTATATTGCAACATATTATCAGGGAATTCTACCCGATGGAAGACAAGTTGCAGTCAAAAGGCTATCAAAAGCTTCTAGTCAAGGCACAGAGGAGTTTAAGAATGAAGTAACATTTATAGCCAAATTGCAACATTGCAACCTTGTAAGACTTGTGGCATGCTGCTTGGAGGAAAATGAAAAGATACTTGTTTATGAGTATTTATCAAATGGAAGTCTTGACTTTCACCTATTTGGTATGATTTTACCTTTTGTTTTTTTTCACTGCTTTTTTCTTCAAAAATTGAGGTAATACACTAATTTTTTCCATGCTATGACCAATACTTTTACGGAGAAACCTAACTCTGTATGGTGTCAGATGATGAAAAAAGGAAGCAACTTGATTGGAAACTAAGGTCAAGCATTATTAATGGAATAGCAAGAGGTCTTTTATACCTTCATGAGGATTCTAGACTCAAGGTAATCCACAGAGATCTCAAAGCTAGCAATGTTCTGTTAGATGATGAAATGAATCCAAAGATATCAGATTTTGGATTAGCTAGAGCATTTGAAAATGGTCAGAACCAGGCAAATACAAAGCGAGTAATGGGCACTTAGTAAGACTTGTTCTTTTCTAATGTAGTTTTGAAACATGCAATCTGTTATATGTTCTATCATGATAGAGATAAGAAAGTTACATTAATTTTGATCATGCAGTGGATACATGGCTCCGGAGTATGCTATGGAAGGATTGTTTTCAATGAAATCTGATGTTTTCAGTTTTGGAGTACTTGTTCTAGAAATCATTTGTGGGAAAAAGAACAGTGGATTTTTTCTATCAAAACATGGTCAAAGTCTTCTTTTATATGTGAGTTATCTCTCTTAATTGATCCATAGATTTAACAAACAATATTATCTAAAGTAGTAACAATGTTCACAAATCAAAATTTGGTGTAGAGTTGGAGAATGTGGTGCGCAGGAAAATGTTTGGAATTGATGGATCCAGTGTTAGAAAATTCCTACATATCCAATGAAGTTGAGAAGTTTGTACAGATTGGTTTATTGTGTGTTCAAGAAGCAGCAACAGCTAGACCAATCATGTCCACTGTCATGTTATTGTTGGCAACTGATGTGATGAACATTCCCAAACCCAACAAACCTGCATTCTCAGTTGGAAGAATGACCTCAGTGGAAACTTCTGCTTCAAAAACTTCCAAAAGTGTTTCCATTAATGATGCATCAATCTCTAGTATTGCACCAAGGTGATCAAACTTGCTTAAATAGTTTGATTATGATAAAGCAATGACATATATCCTTTCTTAATTTAGTCAAGTTATCCTATGAAGATAGATCAATAATCAGTACAAAAAATATATCTTTCAGACCTTTTGTATTTTTTATTTCCATAAGAACATCATTTATTCGTCTTTCCAACCGTTTTTTTTTTGTTTGTCCTTCTTTGATTATTATTTTTTTTACAAAACTAAAAATTAAATAAGCCAGAGTATCTATCATCTTTATGGGTAAAGGTAACCTTTGTTCAAGATCATTTGAAAGAAAATAAATAGTATGAAGTCAAGTACTTTATCTAACTATCAAGATGGTGAAAGAAATGTACTGCTATATATTAAGTATAACCACTAGTATATATTAAGTATAACCACTAGTGCAAAAACAACATATAACTTCATGTGTTCAAAGTCCAATCACTGAATAGCTAACTTTAAAATGATCGGTGAGATTTTTGTAAATAAATGCAATTGTAGAACATCGAAGCCCCCAATCAATTCGACGTTCTATGATGGTAATTATTTAAAGGTTTAAATGTTTACTTCGTCCCCATGTTAAAAGGTGAATTTCTGTTTAGTACTCGGTTTTAAAAATGCATCTATTGAGTCCTAAAGTTGTAAAAACTGTATAAATGAAGTCCCCTCCGTTAAATTGGCTTAAACGAAGTTAACTCCGCGCTGACCTGGATATAAAATCTGATATTTTTTTTCTCTCTCATCTGTTTTTTCTACAACTTTCAGCTTTATCTCTTTCCATGTCTTTTGGAACAGCTAGCTTCTACTAGGGTTTCTTCTCGAAATTTCCCTTCTCCATAATCCTTCACCATAGTTACCATTCATCTTCTTCTTCTTCTATAAAAAAATTTCAATTCTTTTTTTCCGTTAAACTTTCCACCATCCACAAAAAATAGGTAGAACGTGGGTCAGTTCCCTGAAATATTGTCGCCGGCGTCGATGTTGCTAAGATCGTCTGGGCTTTTCTAGAAACCGCAGACAACGTTGTTTTGGCACGAATTGAGCCCGTTTTGGTCAACTCACAGCTTCGTCGCAAGTTTGTTGGGGCAGCTCTCTGCCGCCACGATTTCTTCGTTGCCGTCTTCGGACATCTTCAATTGTGGCAACCTGTGTAGAGCCTTTCCGAACGAGCAGCTGCGAAGCTTGGGTTTTAACAATCCCTGCTTAGCAATCTTTTGGTGTCGTCGTTCCCTCAACATTCTTCGCCAAACTCACCGCTGCAAAAGAAGACTGGTACAAGGGCTGGTACGGGGAAGAAGGAGAGGACAAAATTGTCTCTTAATCAAGCATACGGGGTGCAGGAAGAAGAAATGGAGGTGTAGGAAAAAACAACTGAATGCATGAGTTTGAGGATGCAACTCAGTCTAGTACAAGATAAAAGAAAAAAAAAATGGACATATACCTCTAACTTCCTCTCACCCCCCTCAAGCAAAAGCCAGAGAATGATTCACCCAAGAAAGCTACATATATCAGTGTCTGATTGTATTTTAATTACAGGACTTTATTGATGATGATGACCATTATAACAATGAAAAATTGGTTTAAATCTAGTCAACGTACTATTATCACAATGTTTGCTCACATTTTAGTTTATAAATTGCTAGAACTGTTATCCAAATTCCCTTCTAGGAGGTATTGGAATGCTTAAACTGAAATAGGATTTTGAAACGAGAGATTTGCATAGTTTATGTGAATTATTAGATTCTTTTTAGATCTCATTTCCTCCTTCTAAGTCTTCCTCAGTGGAAAAAATATAATAGCCCACTAGAATACGTTTAATGCTAACTTTTTTTATAACTTATACGAGATCTTAGACTAAAACAAACATAAAAGTTATGTATATATAATGTTCAGAATAGATGAATTTGGCTCAGTAACCATGCCAGTGGAAAGTTTTGACGATGAAATTTGCTTACTGGTAATGCTCACTTTCGAAACTCACTAACTGATTGGTTTTTCCACAATGAAACGAGTGCGTAAGAGATTGGAGTTTATCACTCACTGCAACATTTATTTTATTATGTCGTGATTCTAGGGCTGCTTCAAACATTGAATGTATTGAAGACTAGTTTTAGAATCTAGGGCAAGTGTAAATCTAAAATGTTGCTGCAAAAGATGACCTGCAAATATGAGAAACCTTGGTAGAAGCTAGCTGTTCCAAAAGACATGGAAAGAGAAAAAGCTGAAAGTTGCAGAAAAAACAGATGACAGAGAAGAAAAAAAGGTCAGATTTTTATAGCAAGTCAACATGGAGTTAACTTCGTTTAAGCCAATTTAACAGAGGGGACTTTTTAATACAGTTTTTACAACTTTGGGACTCAATAGATGCATTTTTAAAACCGGATACTAAACAGAAATTCACCTTTTAACATGGGGACGAAGTAAGCATTTAAACCTTATTTAAACCAGCGCGTCATTTTCTTTCTTCTTTCTTTTAAAACACCAATAGTACGTCAAATCCTGTAGGAGTTCGACGTAATATTTGTCAATCAGAAGCCAAAGAGTTACCTTTTTAATTCTTTTTTCTTTTTTCTTTTAAACAACAAATAATACGTCGAATTCTGTAAGGGCTTCGGCGTATATTTGTCGGCCAGAAGCCAAAAAGTAACCCATTTTTAATTCTTTTTTTCCTTTTTCTTTTAAACCACATATAATACTTCGAATTTTGTAAGAGCTTCGACGTATTATTTGTCAGCCAAAAGTTTCCCCTTTTTAATTTGAGCTGGAGATTGAAAATTCATTCACTTTATCTTAGCGCGCAAGACTCTCTTCTCTTCTCAAACTTTTCTCGAATGAAGTTTGACGACCATCACATGTAATCTTTTTTTCATTTGATACAAATACATGTTAATTAACTACTTTATGTATAATTTTTGTTTGTTTTGATCGATTATTTTTGTGTTATTGTCCTTCGTAGGCGCATTCTGCTTTCTCTCTCACTAGTGGAAACACTTTATTCCGACAAACTCACCTTTTGAAGGTTAGTATTCGTTTTCGTTTTTATTTTGAAGAACTTATTTGTTTAACTTGTTTGTTGTTATTTTTTGTTGAACTTGTTTGTTGTTGTTATTTGGTTGAACTTGCTTGTTATTTGTTATTGTTGTTGCTACTATACTACACGTTCATAGTTCGTGCTTTATAAAATACCAAAACCTAAAATTTGTTATTTTTCTGCTTTTCTGGTCTCATAGAGTTATAAAAAAGGATTACAATTAATTAAAAAAACTATGCCCAGACTTTGCTCTAGTATCCTTCCAAAAGCGCCTACACAATACCTTCCAAAAGCACGTACACAATACTAAAAACAACAACCACAAAAGGATAAAGTACTGAAATTATATAATATTGTGTTTAGACTAGTAATTTAGAATGGTAATTTGTTTATTAGAAAAAATTAAAATTCCTTATATTAAAATAACTTGTTTAGATAAAGTAATTAGAAAAAAATTAAATTTAGAGAATTTTGAAAAATATTTTAAATGCATAAAATAGAAAGATTTTAAATATTCTAAAATTATAAGAAATTTGAAATTTCACTTTTTTTTTTCTCTACAGACAAAAATTAAGTTGAGTCGATTCATAACGGAGGTTCACTCTATCAACCTGAACTAAAGGCTCAAGTTGGATAGATTTGGGTTAAATGTCAAGTTGAGTCAATTAAACTGTAGGTCGATCCAAGTACGCATAGATCGAAAGTCAAGCTGATTTGGTTTAGGTCAAAGGTCAAGTCGATTTAGCATAAACTGAAGATCAAGCTGATATGGTATAAACTGAAGGTTGAGTCGAATTGGTCAGACTCAAAGTTAAGTTAAGTTAGTCAACCCAAATGTTGAAACGAGTTAGCTAGGTCAAAGGTTGAGTCGAGTCAGCCTAGGTCGATGTTTTAGACAAGGCGGCTTAAGCCGACCATAACCGATGATCAAGCTGAACCCAGGTATCTCGACTAGATAGTTGAGTCGGGCCAACCCGGGCCAAAGGTCGAGCTAAGCCAGCTTAGGCCGAAAGTTGAACCGAGTCAACCCGAGCCAAAGGTTGACCAGAGTTGGACTAGGTCGAATGACGAGCCAAGTCAAACCATGTCGAAGGTCGAGTTGAGTCGATTTAAACAAAAGATCGAGTCGAGTTGGTTTGGGCTGAAGGTTGAATCAAGTTGGCTTAGGTTGATGGTCGAACCAAGTTGACTTGTATCGAAATTCAAGACAAGTTAGCTCACGCTGAAATTCAAGTCGAGTCGACATGGACTAAACCTTAATTGAAGGTCGAGACAAGCCAACCTGGACTAAAAGTTAGGCTTAATCGTCTTAGATGAATCTTTTAGAATTGACATAGACCGAGAGTGAAGATGAGTCATCTAAATCAAAGGTTGAGTTAGCTCAAATCGAATTCAATAATATAGTTGAATGTGTCTTAAAATAAAATTAAATCGCTTTATCCAAACAAACAAAAAAATCTAAAATATTTTAATTACTTCATCTAATTAAATTTTTTAAAATATGAAAAGAATTTAATTGTAAGTAATTTAAAATTTATATATTTTAATTTCTTAAAATTGTTCAAACCTCTCGTTCAAATACAAGATGAGAGACCTATAAATTCTAAAATTTATGCAATTTAACTTTGAATAAGATAATGAATGGCGCACACATTCCTTTAATTTTTTTCATCAAACACACCCATATAGGAACGAGTCACACATGGATCACATTACCATGATATTCATAAAGAAATATAATCAAGGTTAAGCATTCTCCACCAAAAATTTAGCACCTACAAAAGAAGTAGGCAAACAACAAAGTAAGATAGCCTTAGCAACAGTACAATAAAAAAAAAAAGCAACCACCGACATGTAGCTCGTTTGAAAATGACATGAGGACAAAATGGATACTTTTAAAAGTGAACTCCACATTTTGGTTAAGAAAACAAAAGTGCAAATTTGCTAAAAAAAAGAAAATTATATTGATTCGACACTACATTGGCAACCCAT